CGCAGCGTCCCTTGGGGAGGGGCGCGAATGAGACACAGGAGCAGGAAGAGGAGGATGAGGAGGAGGAGTGTCCATCTCGGCACGCTGTCCGTGGAGGGACGAGTAGGAGTAGAAGGAAAAGGACGAGGAGAAAGAGGAGGATGGCGAGGAGGAGGAACTTCTATCGCAGCCCTACTACGGATCTCACTACGAGTCCGGCTGCAAGCTTTCTTTTCATATCGTACTACAGCCAGTCGTGCAGATCTCATTTCAACTCCTGCTACAGCCCCGAGTGCATGTTACGCAGCAGTGCTGCTCGTATTGCAAGCCAAGCTGCAGTCTGTACGACAGGTTCCCGCACTGTCCCTCGTAATGCCTTCATTCACGTTCCAACTACAGCCAGTAGTGCAAATCTACACACAGCCTCCATTGCGTCCCCAATCCAGTATGGAATGCTTCCTTGAGTTCTTCCAGTAGTGCAGCTCTCGCTATCGCTCCTATCTGCATGTAGACTGCATATGGTACTGCAGATCCTACAACAGTTCGGTGGCACAGCCAATAGGGCAGCCCCCATTACATCACATCGACCCGCACTACAGCTTTTACGAATGCATCTTACCACAGCTCCTTGAACAGGTCGCGCTACAGATCCTACCACAGTTAGCAGGAAAGTTCCCCCACGCCTGCTCCTTCTGCACCTCCCACCGTAGATCCTACTGTCATTCCTACAACAGCTCTACAACTCATGCAGCACTTCTGGCTACAGCCGCTAGCAGTACAGTTCCCGCCACAGCGTATGTTACAGCCCCTGTTGCAGAGGATGTTGCACACCCGATTCTGCGATTGCAGCTCTTAGTGCAACTGCCACTGCAGCCAGACGGACAGCTTACACACTATGCCGATTAACTCTCCGGCTACGAATCCAACAACAACCAGTAGTGCACATCCCAATGCAGCTCGCACTGCGACTCCATCTGCAGGTCCTGGTGCAGTTCCTCGAGCAGCCAAAGGTACAGTTCTCACTGCAGTTCCTCCTACAATGGTCCCTGACTGTGTATATATACACATATATATATGTGTGTGTGCATCCCCTACTGCAGTGCCACGGCGCAGCGCTGACTACACCCGCCACTGCAAGTATCATCTGAGCGGGTCGTATAGCTTTCAGCGCAGCCCGTACGATTGCCCCTGGTAACAGGTCGTATTACAGTTACTTCTACGACCAGTCGTACAGCCCTCTCGCAGCTGTTAGCATTGGTCATACAACGGCTCTGTCGAACGGTGTTGCAATTGCAAGGTTTTTTCCCAACCATCATGTGGTGCTGGGTCTGCGTTTTGAAGAGACGGTGCCCCGCGTCTCCTCCTCCCGCTGCCCCCTCCCTCCTCCCTCCTCCCCCTCCTTGCCTCTGCCCTCGGCACACCCCTCACACGCTTCGTAGCCCCATAGGGAGCCCCACCGAAGGCCCCAGCGGTTGCTCTCGCATGCAGTTCCCCCGCCCAGGGCAGCGCTTCGTGGCCCCATAGGGAGCTCCAACGAAGGCCCCAGTGGCTGCTCTCGCATGCGGTTCCCCCACCCAGGGCCGCGCTTCGTGCCCCCATAGGGAACTCCACCGAAGGACCCAGTGGCTGCTCTCGCATGCGGTTCCCCCACCCAGGGCAGCGCTTCGTGGCACCATAGGGAGCTCCACCGAAGGCCCCAGTGGCTGTTCTCGCATGCGGTTCCACCACCGAGGGCAGCGTTTCGTTTCCCTATAGGGAGCTCCACCGAAGGCCCCAGTGGCTGCTCTCGCATGCGGTTCTCCCGCCCAGGGCGGTGTTTCGTGGCCTCATAGGGGGCTCCACCGAAGGCCCCAGCGGCTGCTCTTGCATGCGGTTCCCCCACCCAGGGCAGCGCTTCGTGGCTCCATAGGGAACTCCACCGAAGGCCCCAGCGGCTGCTCTCGCATGTGGTCCCCCCACCCAAGGCAGCGCTTCGTGGCCCCATAGGGAGCTCCACCGAAGGCCCCAGTGGCTGCTCTCGAAGGCTCCAGTGGCTGCTCTCGCATGCGGTTCTCCCACCCAGGGCAGTGCTTCGTGGCCCATAGGGAGCTCCACCGAAGGCCCCAGTGGCTGCTCTCGCATGCGGTTCCAGGGCAGCGCTTCGGCCCCAGCTCCACCGAAGGCCCCAGCTCTCGCACCACCCAGCGTTTCGTGGCCCCATAGGAGCTCCACCGAAGGCCCCAGTGCTGCTCTTGCATGCGGTTCCCCCACCCAGGGCAGCGTTTCGTGGCCCCATAGGGAGCTCCACCGAAGGCCCCAGTGGCTGCTCTCGCATGCGGTTTCCCCACCCAGGGCAGCGTTTCGTGGCCCCATAGGGAGCTCCACCGAAGGCCCCAGTGGGGGTGTCTCGCATGCGGTTCCCCCACCCAGGGCAGCGCTTCGTGGCCCCATAGGGAGCTCCACCGAAGGCCCCAGTGGGGGTGCTCTCGCATGCGGTTCCCCCACCCAGGGCAGCGTTTCGTGGCCCCATAGGGAGCTCCACCGAAGGCCCCAGTGGGGTGTTCGCATGCGGTTCCCCCACCCAGGGCAGCGTTTCGTGGCCCCATAGGGAGCTCCACCGAAGGCCCCAGTGGCTGCTTCGCATGCGTTCCCCCACCCAGGGCAGCGCTTCGTGGCCCCATAGGGAGCTCCACCGAAGGCCCCAGTGGCTGCTCTCGCATGCGGTTCCCCCACCCAGGGCAACGTTTCGTGGCCACATAGGGAGCTCCACCGAAGGCCCCAGCGGCTGCTCTCGCATGTGGTCCCCCCGCCAAGGGCAGCGCTTCGTGGCCCCATAGAGAGCTCCACCGAAGACCCCAGTGGCTGCTCTCGCATGCGGTTCCCCCACCCAGGGCAACGCTTCGTGGCCCCATAGGGAGCTCCACCGAAGGCCCCAGCGGCTGCTCTCGCATGTGGTCCCCCCACCCAGGGCAGCGCTTCGTGGCCCCATAGGGAGCTCCACCGAAGGCCCCAGTGGCGCAGTTCGCATGCGGTTCCCCGGGACAGAGTGTGTGTTTGTATTGTTCTTTTATCGGATGGTGGTGGGGGGGTCCTCATGGACTCGGGTTGGCTGCTCCGAGTCGCCTGGGGGAGGGGGTGTATACTAATAGGGAACAGTGATAAACCCCTCCCCGAAGGGGAAGAAGGAGGTTGGAAGAGGAAATTCCCTAAACCACCTACGCCCAGAGGGCTGGTGGCATTGAGGGGGGTGCTTCTCCTGAATTGCAGGGGGGGAGGGGTTCGAACCGACCTTCCCACCCCCTCTTTCAAGGGAGGGGAGGGGAGGGGAGGGGTTCGAACAACCCCCCGCCCGAACTGCCCCCCCCCGCCTCCCGTTCCCGGTGGCAAATCTCGATGTCGAGCGGCGGCGGCGCCGTCGTCGTCGTCGTCCTCGACGACGACGACGACGATCGAGTCCCAGTAATATACTATTAGAGTTGAACCCGGCTCTGGTAGGATTTTGACGGTTGAAGGAAAGAATTTTGCAACAACAGCCCCCGAACGAGAAACAACCAAAGTATCCCCTCCACACCCTGGCCAGAACATGGGCAGGCGTTGCGTCCGAGATGATGGGCTCAGGATTTTTCTGGCCCCACTTTTGAGGGACTGCCTGTTCAACATTAAGACTGGGGGGCGGAGGGGGTTCATGCGAAGCGGCTCTTAACCGTTGGATGCCCAGTTTTTCTTCCAACGGTTGTGCAAAGAACGTGTTTCCTTTTTTTTGGCGTGGGCGTGAAGGAGAAGGGGTTGAAGGGAGAGGGGGAAGGGATTATATGGGGAGGGCAGGGGGGGAAGTGGGCGCGAAACTCAATCCTGTACTGAGGGCCAGCCACCGCTCGCCGTCGCCGCTGTCGTACCCCAAGCACGCTCGTGAAATACAAGCGGCCCGGCGTGGGCCTCGCGTGGGCCACGCCTGGGCCTCACGTGGGCTATTCTGTTTTTACAGAGGCCCGGCAGCTCATGTACATGATAGAGGGTTTCTAATGAATTGCAACATCATTGAACGGCGAGGCTGCGAGGCCCATACAAAAAAAGCAGTAGCCTACGTGAGGCCCATGCGAGGCCCACCTGAGGCTCGCGTCGGGACGCCATGCCACTGGTCTTTTACGGCGTTGGCGTCGCGGTGCGGTTCATGGGATCCATGCTGTTCCGCGCAAAAGCACAAGCTTTTAGCCTGGGAGTGTATGTGGTGTAAGCTAGTGTAAGCTATATAGTTTGACTGGGAAGAATCCGATGCCGACGGCGTACGCAGATTTATGCTTCCCTTAGGAGCCCCTCGATCCGTTAAGTTCGAGCGCGGCCGTTGGACGGCGATGCTGCCCCCTCCCCGATAATTCTGATCCCGCCAGGCCCCCCGCCCGCCTCAAGGAAAAAACGATTGTATGTACAAGAGCACAGGTTCTTATCAAGATCCCACTGCTTAGAAGACGCAGCACATAGCTATCACTGATTATGGAAAAGCGGGCTTCTTGTTAAGAGCGACAAGGTATGTTAACAAGGGCTTTATTTCCACACCCCAGACTGAACATTGGATGGGCTCAAGTTTTTTCCGGTCCATTTCTGAGGGACCGCTTGTTCAAAATCAAGGCCTGCGGGCGGAGGGGGGTCATGCGAAGTGGGTCCCAAACGTTTGTTGCACCGTTGTTTCTTTCAATGGTAGTGCAAAGAACGTGTCTTTGATTTTTCCTGGCATGGGCCGAAAGTAAGGTTTGGGGGAAAAGGGGAAAGGGACAAGCTAGGAGCGCAAGTGTCATATCTGACGTCGTGCCCCCCTTCCCAACCCTTACCATTGCGTAGATCTCCTCTCCATTCGTACAGTCGGATGTCGACCATGGCAATGCTCCCGAGAGAATACGCGATGCTTGGCACAGCACGGCATGGCATGGCTTCGCGTCGATAACGCGATTCATTTCGACAACAAGGTCAGAGGGGTACCAGAAATGACACAGGACGGGCAATGCAAATGGACGTTTTGGAACGCGGGAAGCGCAAAATAAGATCAGCGTCTCAGTAGCCATTTTGGCTCAAGCCATGTTGGTTCAAGCCGTTTGCAATCAATGTGTTGCTGCTCAATAGCGTTGCAGAAACACATGGTATGCCAGGCGCATTGCTTGAGGTATGTTTCCCGCGTGGTTGCCACACGTGCGTGCACGACGGTCGAACTTCGTGGAGTCAGTCAGTTCAGGGGAGTCTCTTATGATCGCCGTGACAACACATGGCAAGTAAGAGTGATGCACGACAGGCAGCTGCACAGACTGGGCAAATTCGATTGTCCCAGGCACGCAGCCAGTGTGTATGATGATTTTCTGCGGAGCTGCGACTTGAGAAAACACAGTGCGATACGGAGGTTGAATTTCCCAACAGTTGAAGAAGAGAAGGTGCTGCTGGATTTTTCCGACGAGACTCGCAGGTTCGCAAATTTGGTTCGGTATAGTGACAACCACGCGAAGGAGGCCAGAGCGATGCAGATCATCGAGATGAGTATCAGCAGCTCTCTGGAGTGTGAGTGGCTCCGCGAAGGGACGCTAGCTGACGGAATTTTCCGCCCGAGCATGTGTTTGGACGATGCGTGGATCGGGATTCAAGTCAAATCTACTGCAAGGAAGGTGCATGGAGCGTATCGCTTCAATCGTGTGAACAGGTATGCAGGTTTGGTTGTATTGTGCATAGGTCTCGACCGCGACCTACTCTGGCTGATTCCTGGGGTCGATTTGAAGGTGGCTAGTCTTGGCATTTATTCAGGTGGCAAGTGGAGTGGGTATCATTGCCCTTGGCACGATCTGTCGTCGACACTGCGATCTGTATGGGGTAACACAGCCAAGTTTAAAAAGCTACCAGCTGAGCATTGGAAAACTCCGATCTCGCTTAGTCAACAAAAAGAGTATCTCGCCCATAAGCTTGGGGCCGAGTGGTTACGCACAGCGGGATTAACGATCACCGCGCCTTCTGTTGCTCATGGCCCTGTGGACATGATCATAGATGGTAGAATCCGTGTCCAGACAAAGTCACGGAGCATAGAGAAATCAGGAATTGCGTCTTACCAGGTCACACTCTGGAGGAAGGCTGGGCCCGGCCGGCACCGCCCTTACAGCGCCCACGAGTTCGACGTTCTTGTCATTTATTTAGTGAGGTCTGCAAATTTGGTTGGAATGTTTGCGATTCCCACGGTGGAGCTAGTACGCCGCGGGTATGTCACAGACAGTATATCATTATCCGACCTCAGACCGCGCAGATCGTTGTGCGTCTACCCGCCATGGTCTAGACCGACGCGTCAGCATGCGGTTGTTTCGAAGGCTTGGCAAGCCAGGTATTTTTTTCAAATGTCATCTGAACGGGGCATGGAACAATTGAAGAGCTTGCGCCAATTGTTTGAAAGTTCTTACCCCCAGCCAGGTCTCGCAGCGTCCACCGTATAATCTAAATGCTGCCGCCTCTGCCGCCGACCCCAAAGAAGGTCTGGTTTTTCCCCAACCATCCTGTGGTGTTGGGTCTTTGTTTTGAAGAGACGGTGCCCTGCGTCTCTCCTCCTTCCTTCCTTCCTCCTCCCCCTCCTCCCTCCTCCCACTCCTTCCTCCTCCCCCTCTTTGCCTTTGCTCTCGGCACACCTCTCACACGCTTCGTAGCCCCATAGGGGGCTCCACCGAAGGTCCCAGTGGCACAGCCCGCATGCGTCCGCCACACCCAGCACAGCGCTTCGTGGCCCCATAGGGAGCTCCACCGAAGGCCCCAGTGGCGGGGGGCGCATACGTCCGCCACACCCAGCACAGCGCTTCGTGGCCCCATAGGCAGCTCCACCAAAGGTCACAGTTGGGGGGGGCGTATGCGTCCGCCACACCCAGCCCGGCGCTTCTTGGCTCCCTATGGAGCTCCACCGAATGTCCCAGTGGAGGGGGGCGCATGCGTCCGCCACACCCAGCACAGTTTTTCGTGGCCCCATAGAGATCTCCACCGAAGGCCCCAGTGGGGGGGGGGCGCATGCGTCCGCCACACCCAGCATAGCGCTTCGTGGCCCCATAGGGAACTCCACCGAAGGTCCCAGTGTGTGGGGCGGGGTGGGGGGGGCGCATGCGTCCGCCACACCCAGCACGGCGCTTCGTGGCCCCATAGAGATCTCCACCGAAGGCCCCAGTGGAGGGGGGCGCATGCGTCCGCCAGAGTCAGCACAGCGCTTCGTGGCCCCATAGGGAGCTCCACCGAAGGCCCCAGTGGAGGGAGGCGCATGCGTCCGCCACACCCAACAGCGCTTCGTGGCCCCATAGGGAGCTCCACCGAAGGCCCCAGTGGAGGGAGGCGCATGCGTCCGCCACACCCAGCACAGCGTTTCGTGGCCCCATAGGAAGCTCCACCGAATGCGTTGCTCACAAAGACGGTACTCACAACTGCATCTGATCGGGTCGTTCGCCAGGCTAATTTCACTTGCTCCTGCTACATGTATGACGGCAGCTCTTCATACAGTTTTTATCCCAGCCGAATTCAGTCATGTAATATGGTATTGTGGCTCCTGATGCAGGTCCTACTACCTCTCATGCGGCAGCTATGACCAGAAGTCTTACTACAGAGAGGTGTGCATATCGACTTGCACATGTTGCTACATGTCTTCTTACTGTGATACTGCAGCCAGCGGTACAGATTTCACTCTCACAGTGCAGATGCTCCAACAGTTCATATAACAGCCAGTAGTACCGCTCCCACTATACTCTTTCGGCTGCCTGTACTGCATTGTTGCCTGTTGGTGATACTGATACTTGCGGTCGTAATGGCGAGGACGATTATGCAGAGGAGGTGGTGGAGGAAAGGAGAGACAAATGAAACGAGAGAGAGGAGAACAAAAGTATCGGCGAGTAGAAGAGAGGAGGAGGAAAAGGAGGATGAGGGAAGACATAGGAGGACGATGAGGAGGAGAGGAGAAGGAGGAGGAGGAGGAATACACAAAGGATAGTTAGACGAGCGGGAATGGAAAGTACATCGGGGGGGGGGAGCGGGGGGCGAGCACCCGCACGTGGAGAACCTTGTACACTACACCCGCCCTTCTTAGGCAATGCCACCCATGCCTCACGAAGCGGTCGAGGTCGGAACAGTTTCATGGCACCCCGAGGACTCGAAGCATCCTTTGGGTAATGCCATCCATGCCTCACGAAGCGGTCGAGCTCGGAACAGTTTCATGGCACCCCGCGGCCTCGAAGGATCCTGGCATCTGTTCCTCGGCAGAGGGCGGCGGAAGGCCGGCGGCGGGCGCCTCCGCCGGCGGAGGCTGGCGGTGGGCAGGCGTGAGCCGGCCGAAGTAAGAGTTGCGTACCCAACAGACTGCGATGTTTCTAGTCCAGGGTTTCTGGACCCGGCCGCACGGGCCTGCCAGAATCTCGATGTGTCCAAGAAGCCAAGGCCGGCGTTTGGGAGGCAGGTGCCGATCTCGGCCCCAGGCCGGGCGTCGAAGTGCTTAGTCCCGCGTGCGGCCAACCCCCATGCCGCATGCTTGTGCCGCGCATGCCGAGATCCCCCCCCGGCGCGGGGGTACCCCGGCCAAGTGCTGGCGTCGTCGTGCTGCCGCTGGTGCTGCTGGCATCCTGGCCTTTGCCAGGCCTCCCTCGCCTTGTTTCGGCTCACCCCAACATACTCATATACTATATGTGTGTGTCGCCCCCCCCCCCCAGGGGCGACGCGCGCACCGAGAAATCTTATAGTATATGCGTCGTGGCGGGCGCTTTCTGGTCACACCGCTCGGGAAACGATTTATTACAAGATGGGTATACTTTATGTTCGGGTCGGACGTGCACATCCAAGGATAACATACAGTACTAGTATGTCTTTGGGCGTCGCCGTGTTGCCCTCTCTCTCTCTCGCCCCCTTCTTCTGCAGCGCGTCTCCCCTCTACAGATCCCCATGCCCTCTGCCGGCGGCAACGCCGCAAGCGACGCGAGTCGACGGACAAGACATGATCGCTGCAAGAAAATCCTCATGGGCCTGTTTTCCACCACCATCACCATAAGTTGGAGGGGGGAAGGAGGTGGAGGAGGAGGAGGAGGAGGAGGAGGAGGAAGAGGAGGACCCCTTCCCCCTCCTATTTGGGTGGTGGTGGTGGAAAAGAAGCCAACAAGCCCACCCAAACCTCCCCCCCCTCCTGCCCCCCCCTCCTGCCTGTCGCCGTGCCGCCATGCTGCTCCCTGTCTCGCGTTGTAGCGCAGCTTTGCCGTCGGGCATCGCAGCCCTGATTCACGAGGTGGGCAATGTCTCGGCGACAGGAGAAAAAACAAGCCTCCTGCCCCTTTGTGGGCCCCGGAAACGACAGGGCCGTTCTTTCACCGTTTCCAAAAAAATGTCCCTTGAAAATGGAATCAGTAAAAAAACGGCGACCGGAAACGGCAAAAAAACGGCTCCAGGATTAGAACCGGAGCCGGAACCGGTGACAAAACGGCGACGGAACCGGTAAAAAACGGCGCCGGAGCCGCAAACAAAAGACAGCAAAACGGAACCAGGAAAAAAACGGCCCTGTCGTTTGCAGGGCCCACGAAGTCCTGCCCCCCCCCCCCCCCCTCCTCCCTCCCTTTCCGGCCCCCCCATGCCATCCTCCCCACCGCTCCCCTCGCTGGGCCCCCCTCGGCCCGCCGCTCCCTCCCACGCCTCTCCCCCCCCATGTCGCCCTCTATAGTGGGAGGCCTCCGGAGGCTGCGGGAGGCTCGCGCAGGCCCCAAAGAGGAAACGCGCGACGCTGCGACACGCGCCTAGAAATCTCGATGCTCCCAGACCCCCTCGAGTAATGAAAAAAACATGACGGGATGTTTTTCCTAATTTTCGGCCTCCGGGGGCCCTCACCGGGCCTCGGGAGCGTCAACAAAACGACTCAGGATGCAAAGCCGGTCATGGGGAAAGGGTCCAGACCTCTGGGGGTCGACGTAATGAAAAAATCATTACGTCGGGGGTCTGGGCTGGAGCCTCGTGGGGCAGACGAGGGAGACAGACGGTAATGAAGGATGACGATTAATAACAAATGACCGGGGGTCGTGTTCACGCGGCGGCGCCCGGGATGACGATTCGAAAAAACCGGCCGCGGGCTGGACAACTATTTTTTGATCGTTCTCCTCCAGTCAGCAAATGATGCAGAAAGAGCAGACAACTATGTGTTTAATCGTTCTATCCCATCTTTCTATTTACCGTCATCCCGCATTAGGCACGTCCGGTCGGCAGCCAGACGTCCAGGCGGCGCCCCACCGATCAGGAGCGAAAGAAGGACGTACATGTACATGAATCCACGCTGGTTTCGAGAGCACGCATTGCACAAATGTTCGTACAACGCGGCCGTTCTCGCGAATCGAGGGGCCGCGTTCATGTACATAGCTGGGCGCGTACGTCCTTTGTGGGCTCCCTAACCGAGGTTCCGCACTCCCCGACGGCCCGGAGCACCCGCGACCGGCACGTGTATAGGGATAGGGCTCCCGGCCAGAGGGTCGAGCATCGAGCCCCGCAGGCCCCCGGAAGCCCAGGCAGTGCCCACGCGCCGATCGACCCCCCGTCGGCGCTCGAGCACACACACACACACGGATTCGCTCGGCGACTGCCGATCGGCTGGTAGTGCCAGAGAGCTCCGTGGCTGCTCCGGGTCTTGAGGCCAGGTCGACAAGAGCAGTCCGAGGGCCCCATCGGGCGGGGCTGCAGGACGAGGACGTACAGATCCGCTCCAGAGCTCCCCAGAATTCACCACCCACCAAACCACCCCAACCCAACCCGAAGGCTCACATTTACCCTCGATTTCCAGTGGGGGGGGGGTCGGGAAACATGGAAAAAACACATGTGAATCCTTACCCCCCCCAACCCGAAATTCGGGTCTTCGGGTTGGGTTGGGGTGGTCTGGTAGGTAGTCAAGAATGCCCTCGCAGCGCTCCGGGGAACCCTCTGAGCAGGTCGCGGCGCCCGAGGCGTCCTCCAGGAGCCGCCCGCTCTCAGGGGCCGTCGGTGGATCCTCACCCTGGTCCGTCCCCGTCCTGGCCTCGTCCGCGCCCGAGGGCCCTCCCCTGCCCTGACCTTCCAGAGAGCTATTTTTTAGCACTGGAGGTTTTAAAAACCTAAAAAACTAAACGAAACAGCCTAAAACCAAGACGTAGAATAGCTCTGGGACAGGTTTTTAAGTCGCGTGCTATTTTTTAGCCCTCCTGGAAGGTCAGGGTGGGCGCGCCAGGTACGGCGGCTACGTGGCGCCGAGCCCCGCCGGCGGGAAGGGCCCCGAGGGCAGGAGCTCCGCGTGGCAGCCCGGCGCCGGCGACGGCCCGGGCGGCGAGGCCGAGGGCGCCCGGAGGCGGGGAGGGGGGGAGGGGGGGGCGACAAGCTAGGTGCGCTCGCGTCATATCTGACGTCCTACCCCTCCCTCCCATCCCTTACTTTGGCGCTGATTCTCTCTATCCGCGGACGCGTATCGTAGCGGACCTGTGGCTCCGCGCGCGCGTGCGTAGTGGGTGGTGGTGCGCGTGCGTGCGTGCGTGCGTGTGTGCGTGGTTGTGGTGGTGCTGGTGCTGGTGCTGGTGCTGGTGCTGGTGCTGGTGCTGGTGCTGGTGCTGGTGTGGTGTGGTGCTGGTGCTGGTGCTGGTGCTGGTGCTGGTGCTGGTGCTGGTGTGGTGTGGTGTGGTGGGTGTGTGGTGTGGTGTGGTGTGTGGTGCGGCGCGGTAGTGGCGGGCGGATGGGCGCGCGAGAAAGAGGCCCGCGCTGGGGCGAGAACGCCATCCTGAACGACGGAGGCCAAACACCGATCCGAAAATGAGGCCCACGCTGCAGCGGGAGCACGATTCGGAACGATTCGGGAGCAGAGATGAGGCCGGCGCCTCAGCGAGAGCAGCATTTTGAAAACAACGCAAGCGAAAACCCGTTTCCGGGAATCCTGTGTGTTAAAAAACAGTACGCGGGGGGGTGTCGGATATCTTCGGGGCGCCATCAGGGGAAGTGGGAGAGTATTTGCATGTTGTGTAATTGTGGAGGGGTGTGGGCGGGGAAGGGGGGAAGGGAGGGGGGGGGGGGCGAGGAGGGGGGAGGGGGGGGGGCGATGGGAGGGGAGTCTGGGTAGGGCAAGCCAGCTAGGGGCCTGCAGAGAACAGGGGGGCACGTCGCGTCTGGAGGGGGGAAAGGACATACAGGGGGGGGGGGGGGGGGGGTGGGGGGGGGGGGGGGTGGCGAGGAGAGTGGCGGGGAGCGGGGGGGGGTGTGGTGGGGGGGGGGGGGGGGGGGGGGGGGGGGGGGGGGCGGAAGGCCAGCGAGGAGCTCTGCAGAGGAGGGAGTAACAGGTAGGGGGAGGGGTTGCCCTGGAAGGGGGTGTGCCCTTTATGGGGACCACGAAGGGGGCCTAACCGGGGCCCTAGAAGGATCACATGACCCCCACCCGCACCCGCGCGAGCCACTGTCTCTCTCTCCCCGCCCCCCCACCGATTCCCCTGACCTTCCAGAGAGCTATTTTGTAGCACTGGAGGTTTAAAAAACTTGAACAACGAAACGAAACAGCCTGAAACCAAGACGTAGAACAGCTCTGGGATCGGTTTTTAAGCCGCGTGTTATTGTTTGCCCTCCTGGAAGGTCAGGGTCCTCGCCCCCCCCCATGAAGCGACGCCCAGCCTCATCTGTCGGGCGGGTGGTAGTGGGGGGGTGGTGTACCTCCTGTCGCCGCCGCGCGGTCGGCCTCGGCGTGCGCGTCGAGCGCGGCCACCCGCCCTCCTCCTCCTCCTCCTCCTCCTCCTCCTCCTCCTCCTCCTCCTCATCTCTGCTGGTGCTGCTCCTCCTGTGGCCGATCCTCCTCCTCCTCCCACTCCCTCCCTCTCCTCCTTACTCTCCTCTCATGCTCCTCCTCCTCCTCCTCCTCCTCCTCCTCCTCCTCCTCCTCCTCCTTCTCCTCCTCCTCCTCCTCCTCCTCCTTTTCCTCCTCCCTCTCCTCCTCCTCTGGCTCGGGAGCGGCAAGCGGGGCCATGGAATCAGAGCTGGGGTGTCCGCGGTTCGGTCGGTCCGACTCGGTTCGCGTCCGTGCCGTTGTTGCGCCGGCGTGCCCGCCCGTGCTGCTCGCGGCCGTCCGGTTTCTGTCGGTCTCGATCTCGCTGTCGGCCTGGCCGGTGTTTTCAGTTGTGCTCGTCGCCGTGGCTGGCCTCGCGAGCAGGGCGCCGGCAAGGTGGGGGCACAGGCCGTGCCGTGGAGGCCATGTACTTCTTGGATCGCGACCGCGGCGAGACAAGTCGGGCGACGGAAAGGAACGAAGCGCAGATGCACCGGCCTAAATTATAGCGCACAGAAGGAAAAGGGCGAAACGAGAAGAACAAGAGCGGACAGAAGAGACGGACAGCAGGCGAACCTCACGGAGCTGGGTGTGCGCGTGCGTCGGCGGTTCGAGGTGCGGGGTGCCGAGGGTCACCACCTAGCAAGCCACACCAACCCAACCCGAAGGCCCCAATCTGCTCTCCGTTCCCAGTAAGGGGGGCGTCGGGGAGCATTGAAAACAACAAGCACGTGGCACCCGACCCCCCCCCCAACCAGAAATTCTTTACGCTTCGCGTATCCCCACCAGCCCATCTCACAGCAGCAACTCTTGCGAAGCATGCCGACAGTCGTGTTTTTCAGGCGTGTGTCCGCTTGGCCCCGCATATTTCCCCTGTTCCTCCTTCCTCCCGCCTCCTTGTACATCCTCCTTGTGGGGGGAGCGGGAGAAGGACGAGGCGGAGGAGGAGGGAGAGAAAGCGCTCCTCTTGATTTGAGTCGTTTGGGGTTTCTCGTCCTGGTGTGAGTCGTTCGGGCCCTTCTTCCTGGTGTGAGTCGTTCGGGCTCTTCGTGGTGTGAGTCGTTCGGGCTCTTCTTCCTGGTGTGAGTCGTTCGGGCTTCTCGTGGTGTGAGTTGTTCGGGCCCCTCATCCTGGTGTGAGTCGTTCGGGCCCCTCCTCCTGGTGTGACTCGTTCTGGCTCCTCGTGGTGTGAGTCGTTCGGGGCCCTCGTCGTGGTGTGAGTCGTTCGGGCTCCTCGTGGTGTGAGTCGTTCGGGCGCCTCGTCCTGGCGCCTCGTCCTGGTGGAGCGTTCGGGCCCCTCCCCTCCTTGTGGTGTGAGTCGTTCAGGCTCTTCGTGGTGTGAGTCGTTCGGGCCCCTCGTCCTGGTGTGAGTCGTTCGGGCTCCTCGTGGGCCTCTTGGGGGCCTCTTGGAGCCTCTTGGGGCCTCTTGGGGGCCTCTTGGGGGCCTCTTGGGGGCCTCTTGGGGGCCTCTTGGGGGCCTCTTGGGGCCTCTTGGGGGCCTCTTGGGGGCCTCTTGGGGGCCTCTTGGGGCCGCTTGGGGGCCTCTGGGGGGCCTCTTGGAGGCCTCTTGGGAGCCTCCTGGGGGCCTCTTGGGGCCATCTTGGAGCCTCTTGCGACCTCCTCAGAAGCGCAAATGAGGGCTGCCCCCTGAGAAGGGCTGCCCCCTGAGAAGGGCTGCCCCCCTTGTAAAATCAATGATTTTGCTATGAAGGAAGATGAGCGCGGCCCCCTCAGGAGGCCAAAATGGGGCCAAAACCGTAGTAAAATCAATGATTTTGGCTTCAAAGAAGAGCAGAGGGGCCTATCTCCGCCCCCCCGTCGGGGCCAGAATCCTCGTGAGGGTCGTCGTTTTTTGGCCCTCCCAGGAGTCGAAATTGACCCCCCTGACGACCCGCCGGGCCCCCTGTCCAGGCCCAGGGGGAGGGGGTAGGGGGAGGGGTAAACCCCTCCCCGAAGGGGAAGAAGGGGGGTTGAGGACAGAGAGAGCTCTCTAAACCACTCACGCCCAAAGGGCTGGTGGGATTTGAGTCTTCGGGTTTAGGTCGGGGTGGTCTGGCAGGTAGTCAGAGGGGTGGGGCCTCGAGGGCAGGGAGGGGATCCCAGGCCGAGCCCTTCTTGTTTCCCGACGGCGACGGCAACGAGCATGCCCACGTCCTCAGACGTCCCAGCCCAGCGCTGCCTCCTTCCAGGGCGGGCGCTCCTCCTCGGGCGTGAGCGCGGAGAGGCGGGCGTGAACCATAATAATAAGGAGGCGACGCGCCGCGCAGGAGCGCCGGATGGCAGCGCAGCCCACGGCTGAGCCTTCATTGCTCGAGCAGGGGATCGATTGCACAGTCGATGTGCGGTCAAGTCGCTGAACTGAGGAGCAGTTTAGGTTCGGAAGGGGCCCGAGGTTCCGTGCGTTTTTCCCTGGTTGTTCCTCTAGCCCTCCTCGTGCACGCAGGCGCTTCTGGTGCCGGACAGGTGCTTCGTTCCTTATTCGGCGTTTGTTAGTATTTTGCACAGGGTGTCTAGAGCTCCGACCACTGCATTTCGGCACGGCACCCCCTCCATCACCCACCCATGCCTCCAGCGAGCGGCCCCCAGCGCGCCCCCACCTCCCCCGCCCCATCCCCCCACCCACCAGCCAGCGCGCCCCCTCCGCCCCTATCCTTTTATTTTGGCACGGCACCCCACCCATCCCACGCGCCCCCTCCGCATCCCTCCCGCCCAACAGCCAGCGCGCCCCCTCCGCCCCGACCCTTCTATTTCAGTACAGCACCCCCCCCCACCCACCCAGACCACCATCCCCCCACCCACCGGCCAGCGCGCCCCCTCCGCCCCGACCCTTTTACTTCGGCACGGCCCCCCCCCATGCCGCGCGCCCCGTCCGCATCCCCCCTCCGCCCCGACCCTTTTATTTCGGCACGCCTTCCCCCGTCCCGCGCGCCCCCTCCGCATCCCCCCCAACCGCCAGCCAGCGCGCTCCCTCCGCCCCGACCCTTTTATTTGGGCACGGCCCCCCATGCCGCGCGCCCCGTCCGCATCCCCCTCCGCCCGACCCTTTTTATTTCGGCACGCCCCCCCCGTCCCGCGCGCCCCCCTCCGCATCCCCCCACCCGCCAGCCAGCGCGCCCCTCCGCCCCTACATTTTATTTCGGTACGGCCCCCCCCCCCATCCCAAGCGCCCCCTCCGCATCCCCCCACCCGCCAGCGCCCCCTCCAGACCCCACTTTTGTTCCCCTAGCACTTGCAACTCTGGTGAGCCCTATACCCCCGGTTGCTTCCACATGGTCTTACACGCTGCAGTTTGCATTCGCCCGCGTTGGATTCCTTGCCTCGGCATGCCAATGCGTGCTCACATCTCCTTCCAATCACCCCCACTTGCTCGCATTACTCAGAGTTGATTGCCCCTGCTTGCTTGATTTGCATTCGTCGAACCATCATATGGTGTCCACACGCCAGGATCACCAAGCATACGAATGCTCCGTTCAGCTTGTCGCAGGCAGTTTGGTGCAGCTTGTTCGTGGCGATCCATGAGTCCCCCGCAGTCGTCAGTCCGATGTTGGCATCCATGTCTGTTCTCCGACAAAGCGGGTGAGTGTTGAGAGCTGGTGGTTTTGCGCACGTCTTTTCTGCTGCTGACCTTCTTGTCGGAGGCGGTGCCTGAAGTGCGAGGTCTGACGCGGCCCATCTGCGGACCTTTAGTTTCCTGTGAGCCTCGGGCCGAGCTGCGCAGTCGAAGCAGCTCGTAGCATCAGGCAGCAGAGAACTCCCTGCGAGTAGCAAGAGAGGCGGGCGGTCATTTGTCACACCTGTTGCATGGTAGTTAGGACACTTCTCTGACGCGTGCCATGTTTTTGGGGCCGCGGCAGTGCGGACCCACTGCTCAAGTGCAGCCACAATGCTCGCTGCGCCCTGATCACCTCTGCGACACTTTTTATCTCTGGAATGACGAGGAACGAGCAAGACGAGGACTTGGAGGGGGATGGGTGGAGATAAGGAGGAGGAGGGGGAGGAGGAGGGGGAGAGAGGAGGGGGAGAGTAGGAGGAGGAGGAGGAGTGAGGCGGAGCGGAGGCGCAAGGACGGAGGAGAGGAGGAGGAAGGAGGAGGAGTAGAGGAGGTGGAGGAGGAGGAGGAGGAGGAGGAGAGGGAGAAGGGAAACGAGGAGGACAATATGGAGGAGGAGAAGTATGGAGGAGGAGAAGGAGAGGGAGGACAAAGAGGTGGTGAATATGGAGGAGAAAATGGAGAAGGAGGTTGAAAGGACGAGGAGCTGTATCGAAGGAAGCGGAGGGGGGGATATTGGCGTTCGAGGCGTTCACTATTCAGCTTGGCCTATCCACAGTGCCTTCTTCCAGCAGCCTTCTTCAGAGATTAAGAAGTTTCTTTCCTTCGGGGCGGCGAGTGGAAGCGCTTCAGGGTGAGGGAGACTAGAAGAATGCGCGGGAGGGCAGGCAGGAGAAGGCAGAGGAGGCGAGGAGGACGAGCAGAAGGAGGGGACGAACAGGAGGATGAGCAGGAGAGGACGATGAGAATGAGGACTCGGAAGGGAAGGGAAGGGGAGATCGAGGAGGCTCGAGGGGTTAACATCCAGGTCGGCTTGGGCGAGAAGGTCTGCCCCCGCGTAATGGTGCTCCAGGCGTTCGCGATACGAGCGCCTCTGTGCTGCGAGCATCGGGGTAATGGAGAGGATTGGGCGAGGCTGCTCCCATCACATCCTTTCGTGCGCTTCGCTAGGGCCCACTGCGTGCTTGGGGAAACACGCTACTGATTCCATGTACATGTTGTCTTGCCTTGCTCGCTCGCATCTGCTACCATGCATAGTTTGCCATCGAAGTAGTTGTTGCCTTCGAAGTAATTGTTGCTGTTGCTGTTGGCCTCGCTTGCGCTCCCGCTGCTCATGCACTTGCGGGAAGCGTGTCTCGCAGAAGAGATATGTCCCCCGACCTCGCTGGCACGACTGCCCCCTCTGCTCTCGTCGAGGCGCTCCTGCCTGGCGGGCAGGGAGAGGCTGCCTCGATGTTGGTCGCGACGCCCCTCCCGTCGAAGAAATTGAGAGTTGTTCGGCGGCGCGCCAAGGGGGAAGCGAGAGGGGGCAGGCATTCTCAGAAGGTGGTGGAGCCGCGGAGAAGGCCCGTACAGCTTTTCGGAAAGCCCGAGGCTTTGCGAGACTCCTGAGAATGACCCCCCCCCTCTGCCTGCCCTTCTGGGCGCGCCGCCGACGTGTGCCAGAACGGTTTGGTGTCGCACAGCAGTCGGCTGGAGTCCGCCTGGATCAATGTGTGATCTACACCTTAGGCGATGCTTAAGAAAACCTAGGTTTTCGGCCAGAGTTTCGATTATTCTGAATGTTTCAATGTAGATCCTAAGATTTGAATGGCCATTCTGGGTTTTATCTAAGTTCTGAGACTATAAATTTCTTAACCCATGATTTCTAAAGCATTTCGCAGGGTGTAGGGCTCGCCCCTCCAATGCTAATGGGATCGGCCCTCCCGCCCCGCTGGAAAGGGGACGCCCGTGAGCCTCGCGAGGGCCTCGCGGATGGGATCTTACCCCTCCCCCCCCCCCCATGTGGTCGTGGCCCTGTGGGCGTGGCGTGGTGGCTGGTGCCAGTGCCTCCCCATCCTCCCCCTTGTGGGTGTGGGATGGTTCGTCCCCTGAGCACGCAGCCAGGCCGCGAGCCTGTCGCGCACGCTGGTGTGGCGCGCGATGGCCCCGCCGCCCGCTTCGCCGTCGACCGCGTGGCTCGGGCCCGCCGTCGGGTCTGCTCCGCAGCGAGCGCCGTCCCGCCGGCAGCGGAGGCGAGCAGCGCTCGCGTGAGCCGGCAGGGGCAGCCGCGGGCGGAGGGCGAGCGCTGGCCGACCGTGCGCGCCGACGAAGCAGTGGTCCTCCTGCGCAGGCGGCCGCAGCCAGCTGCAGCCGGGCGACACTACCCGGGTGCGTACCGCCGGGGACGCCGCCACTTGGAGGAAGCTTGAGCACCATTGCGCCGACCCCGCGCCAGCAAGCACCCGAGACAAACAGCGATACGTCGAGACGACACACGCGCCTACACTGACATCACGGACCTCCTCCTCCTCCTCCTCCTACTCCTCCTCCTCCTCCTCCTCCTCTTTCCCACTCCTTCTACCTTCTCCTTCTCCACCTCTCCTCCCCCTCCTCACCCTCCTCCTCCCCCTCCTTTCCTCCTCCCTTCCTCGACCCTCCCTCCCTCTCCTCCTCCTCCTCCTCCTCCTCCTCCTCCTCTCCCTCCTCTTCCTTCTCCTCCTCCCTCCTCCTCCTCCTCCTCCTCCTCCTCCCCCTCCTCCTCCTCCTCCTCCTCCTCCTCCTCCTCCTCCTCCTCCTCCTCCTCCTCCTCCTCCTCCCATCCTCGCTTCTTACTTGTCTCACACTGCGTGTGCGCAGAGACGCCAGAATCCAGAGGCCACGGCCTCACCCCCCTGATCTGGACGCTTGCCCGCAGCGGTGGTCGCTCGTTTGTTCGTTCGTTTGTCCGGTGATTTCATCGGTGCCCTATGCTGTCCGCGGCATCATCACGAAGGTATTGGCCCGATAAGGCCCCGGTGAGTTTTGTTCCGCTCGGGGGAGCATCTTTCTCCCTCTCCACCTCGTCAATGTCCTCCACCTCCTCCTGATCCCCCTTTTGCCTTCCCGATGTTCCTCTTCCTCCTCCCCCCATTCGTGACCGATTGGGTACCTTCTCATCTTCCTTCTTCCCATATCGTGCTCGTCCTCCGCCACCCGCTTCTCTTTCGCTGAGCGTGGGGCCGACGGTGAGCCTGCTCCTGTTCTCTCCCATGCAGGACTGCCGCTGGGCATCCACCCTCCCGGTATCCCCCTGTGCCGCTGGCTCGTCATGATCGGGGGCGGCAAAGAGGGGGGTGATGACTAGGGGGGGTGGATATCATGGCGGGGCCATGATATTTCCCCTGATTTCATGGCGCCTCTCCTTATTTCATTACGTCCCTGGCTCCCCCGCTGGGCCGCGCACATGCCGCCGGTCATGATTTGCACCCCCCCCTCTTGGACACCCCCCTCTTTGCCGCTCCCGACATGAGAGCGTCATGGCCTCATGGCCCGCGCCGCTCTTCTGAGAACCTTTGAAGGATTTTAGTGGCGACCCAAGCGGGGGGGCCGACTCGCTGCCACCTGGTCGTGGCGCGCAGAAGCCTCGCGCTCGTTTCTGGCAGGCTTGGGAATGGGCACCAGCACTGACCCAGGGGGTTTGCCTCCACCTGTGGAAGATGGTCTTCGATGTTAGTACGGTAGGTTCGCGTCGTGTCGACCGGCGGCGACCCCGCCGCCAGCGTTCCACCTTGAACATCGCTGGCGACCCAGAATGAGTCGGCGTTGAACGATCGGACGTTTCGGAAACGGCCGATCTTTCAAAGTTGAACAATCCCCGCGGTGTCAGTAACCAACGCCCGGGTCGACACGACACGAACCTGCCGTAGCCACATCCAGCTGCCTGCGGCAAGTCCCGCCACCGTGCCAGCCCAGCATGCTCGGCGGCCCTCCTTCGACGGGGCATTGGAGGAACCCAGTGGACGTTGGTTGGAATCTCGTGGGAGGCCTTTCGGAGGCCTCTTGGAGGCAGTTTGAAACCTCTTGGGCGCCGTTCTGGTGCCTGCTGGGGGCCTCTTGGGAGCCTCCTGCGGCCTCTTGGGGACCTCTTGGGGCCTCCTGGGGGCCCCTCGGGGCCTCCTGGGGGGGCCCTTGGGCCCATTTGGGCGGAAGGCTCGGATTTTCGGCTCGTGTTCCCTCTCTGGGCCCCCTTTTGGGGCCGTCGTGGAGCCCTCTTGGGCCGTTTTGGGCGTCCCTTGGGCCGTCGTGGGGCGTTCTCGGGCCGTGTTGAGGTCCTCTTGGAGGCCTGTTGGGCCGTTCTGGGGTGGTCTTGGGGGTCTCCTGGGCCTTCTTGTAGCGTCGGAAGGCCGAAAAGGCGAGAACACAAATTCTTTCAAACACGTAAGGACAATCAATGCTTTTTGCCTTTGGGGGCCCTCTTGGGAGACCTCTTGGAGGCCTCTTGGTGCGCCTTGGAAGCCTCTTGCGCCATCTTGAAGCCATCTTGGGCGTCTTCGAGCGATCGCTCGACGACTCGGGGCCCTGTTGGACCGTTTTGGGGGCCTCCAGGGCCGTCATGGAAGCCTTGGAGAGCCCCAGGGAAGCGCCATGGCCGTCCAGGGACCCCCCGGCAGCATGGGCGATGCACGCGACACTACGCGACCTGAAGGGGGGGCCCTATAGAAGATTACAGTAGCCCTACCAGACAGCACTTGGCATTCTAGCACGCCTCAACGTAGACCCCCGACGTCATGATTTGTTCATGACGTCGACCCCAGAAATCTCGACCCATTCACCGGGACCGGTTTTTCATCCTGAGTCGTTTTGTGACGGTCCTGAGGCCCGGTAGGAGCCCAGAAATAGCGACAAGCTTCCCGTCGTGATTTTCTCATGACGCGAGGGGGTCAGGGAACGTGCCAGGGGGCCCAGTGGCGGCTCTCTGCCACCTGGGAAGTCCGAGCAGCTCCGCCATCGCCGAGATCGGGATCCTCTTCCTCCGGCGGGGGCACGCCTCCGACAACCGTCGACTGGACGTAAGAGTGACCTTTCGCCGGAGTGACCTTCGGTGCGGGCACAGATGGGTCCCCAGATGACTGAAAACGGAGCAGTAGCAGCTGCTTTCGCGCCCAGGTCTGGTCCACCCCGCGGCCCCCAAAAAGTCGCGCACCAAAGGTCACTCTTACCCAGGGTCACTCCTGCGTGTAGCTGAACCAGTCCTGGCGTCCACCTCTCGGCCTCCGATCCTCGTAGACCGCGGAGTGGGTCTTGGCTCCTGCACGGGCACGGTTCCTGTCGGCGGCGGGCGGCAGGCGACGGCCTCCTCGAGCGCGGCACCCTGAAAAACGGCCACGCCGCCCGCCACGGATGCGTTTCCTCACTCCTCCTCCTCCTCCTCCTCCTCCTCCTCCTCCTCCTCCTCGCTCCTCTCCTCCTCCTCCTCCTCCTCCCCCTCCTCCTCCTCCTCCTCCCTCCTCTCCCCCTCCTCTCCTCCTCTCCTCCCATTCCTCCTCCTCCTCCTCCTCCTCCTCCCTCCTCCTCTTCTCCTCCTCCTCCTCCTCCTCCTCCTCCTCCTCCTCCTCCTCCTCCTCCTCCTCCTCCTCCTCCCTTGTCACCGCCGGTGCGGCCCGTACCGCTCATCCCTCTTGGCACTGCGCCTCCGACGGGCTGGTGTCGCGGCGGAGGCGGGCGCTTCGTGATGGGGGGGGGCAAGTCAACAGGGGGGGGGGATAGGGCTGCAGGAAGGGGGCCCGCAGGCGCCCCGCTGCGGCCCCGAAGGTGCACGAAGGGTGGGCCTGTTCTCCGCCTCCCCGTCTCTCGCGCCCTGGCGGAGAGCGTGGCAGAGGGTAGCATGCGATTCTGGCGACACGCGAGGCATTGACTGGAGCGCCGTGGTGTGCAGTGTACGCATGTGCGACTGCTCTCGGTAGTGCTGCCGGCTGGACAGCACCAGCAGGCAGTCAATTTGAAAGTCTAATAGCCGCCTGCGGAAATTGACAACCCGTTGGTGTTCCAATCCGAGTTGAGCAGCCTGGAGCGTAAATCTCAGGCCTGCCCGGCTTCCCCCCCATGTCGGAAGATCCCTCGCAGTTGAAATCATGCAGAATATGCTGGAGAACTCGCATCGAGGAAGCTGGGGGTGCTTGGGCCCTGATGTTAGCTTGATCAGGTTTAGGAGGAGGAGGTGGAGGAGGAGAAGGAGGAGGAAGAGGCGAGGAGGAAGAGGCGAGGAGTCGAGGGATGAGGTGCTCTGGGTGATGGGCGGATGGAATGCGTCTTCCGCCGCTGCCCGAGCCCCTTGTCGTGCCAGTCCAGAGAGTTGGATACCCTCACGATTGACCCCATCTGTTGCAGAAGAAGGCCTTTTGGGTGTCGTAACGGCGGTGTGGACGTCCGTCTCGTCGTCCTCGTCGTTGTCGCATTTTTTCTCGTACGGAATGTGCCCGCAGCAGCATCAGCCAACCCAACCGATGTTGTGCTTCTGCCAGTAACAGCTTGTCTATCATATCCTGACGGTGCCAAACAGAGCCTCCCAACATAGTTAATTCCTCCACTAGTGTCCACCAGGCCCCGTCGCCAGGAGCCAGCCCTGACAGCCAGATCCACACTCCTTGCGCGTCTGCTCGAGGATGGCACGTCCTGCTCGAGAACAAGCACACTGAAAAGGGCGCCCAGCTATTCGCCGGCGTAGAAGCCCTGGCCGCGCAACTCATGAATCGGACCGAAGGGCGGGCTGACAAAGAAAAACGGACCAAGCAAGGAAAGTGGCAAGTCCCAGGTCCAGGCAGCGGTGCGCCCAAGGCCTGTCTCAGGTGCACTCTGTGCGCACTCCCACTCGAGCACGGCGCGCCCCAGGTCCGGACAGTGGCTTCCGCGCGTGCTCGCTCAGGAACGGTGCGTCCAGGATCGACAAAGTGAGGCGTCCCTGACGGGTCACCTGGCACGTCCCCAGGCACTACCCCGAGGGAGGTCCTTTAACACACACCCGATTAAAACGACGCGAAGATCGGGACAAAATCGGATCGGGATACATGGAAATCTCTGAGAATCGGCGGGTTTGGAGGATGTATTGGGCGCCGCGGCCGCTCCAGAGCGTTCCGGAACGCTCTGAGAGCGCTCCGGAACGCTCTGGAGCGATTTATCCCGATCCTAGCCCTGTTTTACCGATGCGTCCCCAGAAACGCTTCTGGACGCGTCCCAGGCACGCCCGGGACGTGCCCAGACCACTGCCCCGGGCCCCAGCGATGTCCGCTGACACGCCCAGCCCAGATCGCCGCGGCCCCCTCGGCCCTGGCCGCGTCCCGCTGCTGCGCGCGCAGTCTTTTGACCTGGTCCTGCCGCCCAGTCCTCGTCGTCGTCGTCGTCGTCGTCGTCGTCGTCGTCGTCGTCGCCGTCGTCGTCGTCGGCGTCGGCGTCGGCGTCGGCGTCGGCGTCGTCGTCGTCGTCGTGGTCGTCGTCGTCGTCGTCGTGGCCGTCGTCGTCTTCCTCGCCGCCCGCCGGCGCCCTCGCCGCCGCAGCCGTCTCGGCCGCTGCGGTTTCCGCGCGGGCCAGCGGCGCGCGGCTCTCGTCCCGGGCGCGCGCGAGGCGCGCGAGGCGCGGCGCGCGCGAGGCGCGCCCGCCGCCCGACCCCCGAGGCTGGGAGCTCGGCGGCTGTCGCCGGGGCGGAGGCGAGATCTGCAGCAGCCCCGCGCAGAGGGGGGCTGGGGAGAGGGGAGGTCCTGCTCCTCCTCCTCCGCCTCCTCCTCCGCCTCCTCCTCCGCCTCCTCCTCCTCCTCCTCCTCCTCCTCCTCCTCCTCCTCCTCCTCCTCCTCCTCCTCCCCCTCCTCCCCCTCCTCCCCTCCTCCGCCTCCTCCTCCTCCTCCTCCTCCTCCTCCTCCTCCTCCTCCTCCTCCTCCCCTCCTCCCGCCTCCCCCCCCTCCCCCCCCCCTCCCCCTCCTCCCCCTCCCTCCTCCTCCTCCTCCACCCTCCTCCTCCTCCCCCCTCCCCCTCCCCCTCCCCCTCCCCCCATCCCTCCTCTCCTCTCCTCCTCCCCCTCCCTCCTCCTCCTCTCCTCCTCCACCTCCTCCTCCTCCTCCTCCTCCTCCTCCTCCTCCTCCTCCTCCTCCCCTCCTCCTCCTCCTCCTCCTCTTCCCCCTTCTCCTCCTCCTCCTCCTCCTCCTCCTCCGCCCCCATCCTCCCCTGCTCCGCCTCCTCCCACCCCTCCCCCTCCCCCTCCCCCTCCTTCCCCCTCCCCCTCCCCTCCCCCTCCTTCCCACTTCCCCCAGTCTCCCACCCCTCCTCCCCCTCCTCCTCCTCCTCCTCCTCCTCCTCCTCCTCCTTCCCCCCTCCTCCTCCTCCTCTTCCCACGCGCGGAGGGGGGTGGAGAGAGGGGGAGGGCTTCGTAGAAGCACCCCTGCTTCTTAGGAGGCGCGGGCCTTCTCTACAGATGTAAGGCCAGCGCCGTCGGAGAAGCAGCCTCCTTCCAAGAAGCCCTCCCCCCTCTCTCCACCCCCTTGCGCGCGCCGCCAACTACACCAAATAGGGGGGGAGAGAGAGAGAGAGAGAGAGAGAAAGAGAGAGCCAGTTTTTTGTTTGCCCTCCGTGCAATCACGCGCGCTGTGCGTCCCCTCCTCCCTCGCCTCCCCCCCCTCCTGCTGCAGTGCGTCAGGCACCACAGCCTGTGACGCCGGACCCATCTGCACCAACTAGAGAGAGACACCGAGAGCCAGTTGTTGTTTGCCCTCCGTGCAATCACGCGCGCCAGGCGTCCCCTCCTTCCTCGCCTCCCGCTGCAGCGCGTCCGTGCAGTAACGCGCGCTGCGCGTCCCCTCCTTCCTCGCCCCCCCCCTCCCGCTGCGGTGCGCTGGGCGCCACAGCCTGTGGTGCCGGACGCACACGGCGGGGGAAGCATCACGTTACGCCCCCCCCCCTTCTTCCCCCCCCCCTCCCCTATGACGCCCGTCATCGGTGCGACAAATGCTCTCCGAGTCAGGGGCAACGTTTCGGGAGGGGTCGCATTGGCCCTCCATCGCCTATTCCTCGCCGACAGGAGCCCGATAGCTCACCCAGGCCAGGACCGTATGGGGGTTCTCGCCATCGGGGGCCTATCGCCGGTCCATCGGCGACGCATCGCCGATTCCAGGTCGGTGTTGCCCCCCCTGAGCCGGCCCCGCCCTCACGTTGCCTCGCAGCAGCTCAGGAGGGACAAAAACACACAGACAAAATTAGTCGCCGATTCCCCAGAAAACATGCGAAGATGTGGGAAGTGGGGAGGGGAAGACATAGGCCCAGAAAGTATGGGGAAATGTGGGGGATCGTTCTACTTGTGTGCACTTGTTGGTGTGTCCCAGGGCCCCTTCACTCTCAGCAGCGCCCCATGGGCCACACAAGGGCGCGGCCCTGCTCCCCAGACCCCCGACGTCATGATTTTTTCATGACGTCGACCCCCCGAGGTCTCGACCCATTGCCCTGGACCGGTTTTTCGTCCTGAGTCGCTTTTTGACGGTCCCGAGGGCCGGGAAGGGCCCCCAAAGGCCAAAAATGATGAAAAACCTCCCGTCGTGATTTTTTCATGACTCGAGGGGGTCTGGGTCCGGAGCAGCCTCCGGCGCGCGGCCCGTCGGGGGCACGCGGGGCGGGCCCTGGCCCGAGCGCGCGCGGGGGCGGGCTGCGGCCTGCCTCGCGTGCGGCGGTCGGCAGGCCGCGCACCGAAGGCCACGCCTGCCCAGTTACCAGCCTGGAACATATCCTCCGCCTCCTCCTCCTCCTCCTCCTCCTCCTCCTCCTCCTCCTCCTCCTCCTCCTCCTCCTCCTCCTCCCTCCTATCGGGGTACGCCCCCCTGCCGTCGCCCAGGAAGGCTGGTCTTATCTTACCAGCCTGGAACATATCCCTACCCCTATGCTGGGCATCTCCTCATCTCGATGCCAATCTTAGGGATTCCCTCAATTGTTGAGGGCGGATCCCCAAGATTGTCATCGCCTTTTGGCGTGTCAATCTTAGGGACAGGGATACGCTCGAGGCTGGTAACCCAGGCTCATGCCTGCGCGCAGCCGGCACAGGGAGGCAGGGGGAGACGGTCGGGATCTGTTGCTCAGAGCGTCGCGGCGGCGTCTCCAGCGGCGCGCTGCTGCGTGTGTGCCTACACACACAGAAGGAGTGTGTGTGTGTGTGTGTGTGTGTGTGTGTGTGTGTGTGTGTGTGTGTTTCTCCCCCCCCCGCGAGCGGGTGAACCGTCTCTCTTCGCTCCGCGGGGCGGGAGGCTGGCAGAAGCTCCGGACGTGGACGCCTTGGACCGGGACGTGGCTCGCGCGTCGCGCCCAGGCGTTGTTGGCCAGAGCCTGTGGCGCGACGCTTCGAGCAAACTGGGGGGCCACATGCGAACCCTACCCCTACCCCCCACGATTTCTGAGGGGGAGGGTGGGGTTCACTTCGCTCGGGAGCTCCCGATCGAAAGTGAACCCCACCCTCCCCCTCAGAAATCGTGGGGGGTAGGGGTAGGGTTCGCATGTGGCCCCCTGCAAACGTTCCGAGCCGAATTTCGTGTGGTATCTTAGGCCCTGGAGGGGCCCGAGAGTGCTTCCGTGACCGCTACCTCCTAGGACCCTGGAGCGTGCTTGTTCTGGTTGGATTCTGGCAAGTTTTTTGGCATTCCATTCCCCCCCCCCTCTCCCGCCGCATATTGTCCAACAGCATGGGCCTAAACAGTGTGCATGTGAGTCCCGACATGCGTGTAAAGTCCAGGCTTCCGGTTGGGCTTTGCCACGCCTTCCCCACCCCCTCTTCCAGGCAGATGAGCCCGCCCGAGCCTGAAGGAAAACGGCCTCCTGTGGCACTTGGGCATGTCGAGAGTGACCTCCCAGGCGAGGCGACTGAGGAAATCTGTGCCAGTTCGCCCGAAATCGGCATGCCAGTGTACCAAGGCCGTCCTCATCATGTTGCGCCGATCGACTTGCGTTTCACCAGGCATTTTCACTTGTTGTTGGATGTCGATTCGCTATCCCGCCCTGGTTCACTCGAAATGCGGTGCCGTGCCAACGTGGAGTGTCACTGGCAGCTCTCACGAAAGGGCGTTTTGCTAGAGGGTGCTCCGTCAACCCTCCTTGCAAGTCCATTCGCTGGAGACAGAAGAAAAGTGGCGTCCCGTGGGGGTGTCGTAGAGGTGGGGCTATCCCGAGGTGGAGCTCGAGAACGAGCCCAGCTGCACGCTTGCAGTTCCTTCTTCCAGGGGCCGTTTCGAGCGACTCCCCTCTGGCCCCACCTCTGCCCTGCCTCACCTCTGCCCCCCCCCCCTACGCCAGTTCTGGCCCACCACGTTTTGACGCAGCACATTTCTCTTTTTGCCAGCGAATGGGAGCCCAGTGGCAGAGAGCAGGTGGACGACACGACACGACGACAACGACGACGACGACGACGCGGTGTCCACTTCCCAGCCCCCAGCCTCCAACGCGTGTCGTCAGGGACGCCGCGGCGACACGCTGCTTGCCATCGCTCAGACGTGTGCATTTTTTCCTTCGGCGAGGACCATCTAGGAGCATTCTTGATCATTTGGCGAAAAAAACCGCGCACGAAACCGAAAACAACACAGATAATGGACGTCCGAGCGATGGCCAGGCTGCCCAAACGCCCCTGACCGCATCAAAAGTCCCTGGCCGTAGTGTCTTTCTAAGCGCGGGGGGGGGGTACGCCCCCGACGGGGGTCGACCTCGCCTCGTCGTCGCGCCGCCGCGGGGGTCGGAGCGCCCTCGGCCCGCGGTGGCTGCCCGCGACGGGGGTCGAGGCAGGGCTGTCGGCGGGGGCGGCGCCTCCCCGACGCCTACTGAGAAAGTCGGAGTACAGTCGGGGCCCTGAAGAAGGAACCCTTTTGGTTGGGGAGGGGCTCCTCCTCCCCCTCCTCCTCATCCTCCTCCTCATCCCTCCTCCTCCTCCTCCTCCTCCCCCTCCTCCTCCTCCTCCTCCTCCTCCTCCTCCGTCAGCCTCCGCCCCATGCGCAGTCGGGGCCCTGAAGAAGGAACCCTTTTGGTTGGGGAGGGGCTCCGCGTTCCTTAAGTGTTTCGCAGCTTGCCTCAGGTTTTCCTCATGCTTTCGGTAGGAAGTCGAAGTGTAACTTATGGACAAAAAGAAGCCTCGTTCCTTATTTTGGGTTCCTTAGGTCAACGCCCCGACTGTACCCAGGCCTCCCGGAAGGGGTCGGTGTAGACGGGGTCGGAGGATCGCTCCGCGTCGTCGATGCGGCACCAGGGTTTCGCCACGCCGATGGCGCCGATGCGTCGCCGATGCGTCGGCGATGCCCAGCCCTCGCATCGGCCGCAGCGGCGGTGCATTGGCGGTGCGGCGCAGTCCCCCGACCTCATCTGCGCGGACCCCAGCTAGGAGGCCTCTGCCGTACAGTCGGGGCCCTGAAGAAGGAACCCTGTTCGTTGGGGAGGGGCTCGGCGTTCCTTGATTGTGCTGCAGTCTGTCTCCGGTTCTCCTGCGGTTTCCCACGGGAAATCGAAGTTCAACTCGTGGGAGAAAGGGGCCTCGTTCCTTCTTTTGGGTTCCTTGGCTCAACGCCTCGACTGTAGCAGCCCCGCTGCCCTCCCGAGGTCCTGCGGCATCGGACCCCCCGGGGGGGGGGGCGGCGGACGGCACGAGCCCCCCGCCTCGGGCCCTTTCCTCCCCCACCACGGGGCCCCTCCCGCCCCTGGCAGAGCAACGGGGCGACATGGCGACGGCGGCCTCGGCCGCGAGGATGGCCGCGGCGGCCTCGGCGGCGGGCCTGCCGCAGCTCCAGAGGAAGAGGCTGCAGGCGAGCGGCGGGCCGCGCGGGCCTCCTCCTCCTCCTCCTCCTCCTCCTCCTCCTCCTCCTCCTCCTCCTTGCCGTATCCGCGGCGTCCTGGAGCCTCGGCCCCCACTTCTGCCCCGGGAGCCCGAGGCGCAGTGGACCTTGATAGGGGGCCGGGCCCTCGAGGCTTAGCCTCGAGGGCCCGGAAGAAGTGCAGAAGTCCAGTAGACTTGACAGGAGCAGAAGTCTAGTAGACTTCTGCTCCTATCCACTGCGCCTCGGCTCGGCGGCGCCCCTCCCCGAAGGGTCCAAGACGCAGTGGCTACGGACATGTTGAGATCGTGCCCGCAGCAAGCATCGGGGCGCCAGCGACCCACACCACCGGCGCTGGCCGCGTCGGACGACAGGGGTGGGGGGGGCCCAGGGAGGGGGGGGGAGGAGGAAGCAAGAGGAGGAGGAGGAGGAGGCGGAGGAGGAGGAAGACGAAGAGGAGGAAGACGAAGAGGAGGAGGAGGAGATGGAGGAGGAGGAGGAGGAGGAGGGGTACGAGATCTGCGGCGCGCGGCTGGATTCGGCCCCGCCGCGCGGCGCCTGCCTCGATGCACTGGCGCCCCGCCCCCCAGCCCCCCGGAGGTGCCAGGGCAATGGGGCGTCGCGCGGTAGGGGGAGGGGGGCGACACATGGGGGGGGGGGGGGAGCGAGGGCGGCAGAGCACGGGGCCCTTCAGGGCCCCAAGAGGGGCCCTGAAGGGCCCAGAAGGGGGCCTCTGTGGCCCGAGAAGTGCACCTCTCCCCCCCCCATCCCCTCGAGCGACGCCCAAGGAAAGCACCCACGGGAGCTCCCCTCTCGTTCGGCCCGAGCTGGCCGGGCCGATGCTGGGCAGGATCGACGCACACGCCTGCCTGGTCGAGCCAGGATAGGGCGCACAAGACACGGCAAATGAGAAAGCGGCCTGCCGGCAGGCGTCCCACGGGAGTCTCTGGTGGACTAGGCGTGAGAGTGGCCTGTCGTTAAGCCGGGCCTTTCCCTCTACAGGGGAATATTCGAAAATAGAAAGAAAAATAGTCTGGGGACTATTTTTTGACCATTTTGGAATATCTGTGGACTATTTTTTAATTTTCGCCCAACATCCCCCTGTAGGGGGGACAGGCCCGACCTAAGACTAGGCGTGAGAGTGGCCTGTCGCCGGAGTGACCTTCAATGCGGGTTCACGGGGGCGCCCCCCGATCGCCGAACGCGAAGCGGTGGCAGCGGCTTGCGCGCCCAGGTTTGGCCACCCCGCGTCTCCCGTTGAGCCGCGCACCAAAGGTCGCTCTTGCCCAGGGTCACCAACCCTTGCGCGTAGTCGATCTGACCCCCCGACGGACCCGGGGTGCGCACAGAAGCCCCGCGGCACCTCAGGAAGCTAAAAGCATGACGACAAAGTGCCCCTGGGTGTCTAACTCAGGAGGGAAAGAAACACACAGACACAAGTAGTCGTCGAGTCCCAGGAACATATAGGAAAATATGGGAATTGGGCGGGAAGACAAAAACCCAGAAAATATAGGAACATATGGGGAATCCTTTTATTTGTGTGTATTTATTTGTGTGTCCCAGGGCCCCTGGGTGTCTAACAGCCAGATGTCTTGTCGCACGATGGGTATACGCCGATCCTTCGCCCAGTAGCGACTGCGCGGGCATTGGCATTCAAGCTGCCCCGTTAGGTCGTGGGTGAGCGCCCTCGTCTGCAGGCGGTGTGCTGCGTTGGCGGCCTGCGTAGGTCTCCGCGTAGGGTCTCCGGGTTCTCCCTCGTGGAAGTCTGTTCCCTTCGTCGCGCAGGTGACGAAGGACGTCGTACCTCCAGGTCTCCGATGTCTAGACTACTGGCAGATCATGGACTACTGGAAGATCTTCGACAAGAATGGTGATGGCTTGATGGACAAGAACGAGTTCTACTTCCTGATGAACCGCATGAACTCCGACCCAGTGGAGACGCTGGGAGAACGCTCAGCCATATCCAAAGTTTGCCCATGTTTGAACCAAGGCCAGCTCGAAGAGGATGGGGAAAAGGAGTGGAAGGAGGCCAGGGAGAGGAGGAGGAGGAGGAGGAGGAGGAGGAGGAGGAGAAGGAGGAGGAGGAGGAGGGCTGGAAATCAAGTGGGACGCGGACAGGCCAGGAGAAATGAGGTGGGGGAGAAGGGATCAGCTATGCGGGCGGAGGCGGCGGAGGTAATCGGAATGAGTGGGGCGGTAGATTGGTGGTCGAGACCGCGGATATCGCGCTGGACCGGAGGCACAGTCAGCATGGAGCCGTGTGCTTGATGTTCGCATTTACAGTGCCCACAATTTGAGAGTGCCCTCTCAGGACAGGGACCTCAGCGACCAGATGTTCGACTGCGTCGACGTGGACAGGAGCGGGGAGATTGACTGCGAGGACGGAGGGGTCCGCTGGGTGGTTCGATGTCCGCTCGATGGATCGGTCTGGCGACCTCACCAGGGGCAAAACCAGGGGGGATAGGCTCAGGTGGGGTTCGACGTTCGGGCAATTTCGTCGGTTCACGGTGGCTTTCCAGCCCCAGGATGCTCTCCTGCAGCTGCGCCTCGCCGAGGGCTTTCCGGGGGTGCGCGGATCGTCCCGAACGGCCGCCGGAGAGCCGAGTTATGATTCAACAACTGGACGACGAGGGTCATTGAGGGGGGGGTGGAAAGGCTCATGGTGGGGGAGGTATCGACCATTGATCGCCGATTGGGGCTCGATAGCCCAGCAGGCCCACAACCATGCGGATTCGGTATCGGGGGCCTATCGCCAGCCCATCGGCGATGTATGGCCGATTCAGGGCCGATGCATGCTCGGCTGATCCAGTCAGCTACCCCAAGCGTTCAGATCCTAGACTCTAGTTTCTAAAAGGGATCAGGACGGCTCTCCCTCGCCCTCCGCATCAGGCCTGGGCGTCCGATGTGACCAGCGACCACTGAATTGTTTTGAATGTGGTCCAGTTGCGCCCCATCGAACATCATGTCCCCCAAAATTGAATCCACCCGTCGGCTTGCACCTCGGGAGAAATACGCTACATATGCAAAACGAGATATTTTGCGACTCGAAGCCCCGTCTCCGTTTGGAGGACGTTCGTGCCCCGAGGGGCACGGCGTATGATACCCGCCCCTTCGGGCTTTTTTGCGACTCGAAGCACCGTCTCCGCTTGGAGGACGTTCGTGCCCCGAGGGGCACGGCGTATGATACCCACCCCTTCGGGCTATTTTGCGACTCGAAGCACCGTCTCCGTTTGGAGGACGTTCGTGCCCCGAGGGGCACGGCGTATGATACCCGCCCCTTCGGGCCCCACCCCATTTCGCTAGTCAAGGAGTGGGGTGCAGATGCGGTGCTTTCCATGCTGACGCACTGGTCATCAGATACCCCCCCTCTTCGCCGCGGCCGCGATCTTCGGCAATCCCCACGAAGCTGTCCCAGTCTCCTGGTCGTCCTGCGATTCCCCAGGGCTGTACGTTGAAGCCCGACCGCGCGAATCCACGCCCAAGCGTCAGACTGAAGTCGGGCGTGTCCCTTTACAGGAGGAATATCCAACCATAGTCAAGAAATAGTCCGGGGACGATGTGTAGACTATGTTTGACCTTGTTTGGCATATCTTTCGACTACTTTCCATTTTTCGTCGAAAACCCGCCTGTGGGGGGACGTGACCGACCTGACGTCCGACCCCTTCTCCGAGAGCGCTGCCGCCTCCGCAGCAGGGGGCACTTTCGGGGAGCCTTGGCAGACGGGCGGGGCACCTGCTCCGTGGTCCCCGATGGGAGCCTCGGTGGGTTCCAAATTTGGGAAGGCCAGTCGTCGTTTCGGCAGTAGCCTTGTTCGTTGCCTTCTGTAGACGTAGGCAGCAGCTCGATGGAGGACGTGTGCCTGACAATGGCAGGGATAGAGGCCACGACCCGAGAACGCCGAGAAGCAGATCGGTAAGATGCAGAACGAGTGGCTGTGGGAGGCGATGGCAAGAAACGGATGTGAGCTTGACGGTGGCGAGGGGCCTATTTGGTTGGAGGCAAGCAGGGGGGACGATGACGAGTGGAAGCGGGAGGGAAGCAGGGGAGCACTGTAGAGGCACAACGTAGAGGACTTGATGTGAGGAGGCAGGCCGGGCGGACTCGAGCGGGAGACCGCGGGATGACGACTGAAGGCATGGGCTTTGGATGTACCGTCTGGCCGCAGGAGTTCCTCAGCTGGATCTTCCAGATGTACGCTCCCTACAGCGGCGGCCTGCGAGAACGTCTTGGCGACATGAACCCAGCCCAGGTGGCATCTTCCATTGCGCGCTGCGTGCTGGCTGCACCTCGGCGTGTTCCGTCTGTTGGACAGGGCCGGTTGCGCTTGTTTGGTGGTGGCAGGAAGCGCAACGCGGCTCCGGCTTGTGTAGATGATGAAAGGGGAATGCGGGGAGAGCGCTTGCGGCCGCAAATCGGTTAGTGGTTCGGAGTACCACGGGAAGCACGAAGTGATTCAGATTTGGGTTTAGGGGAAAATGGTAGATTGGTGCACAGCCTTCGCCATCGCAGAAGGGGTGGATATTCGGATTTTGATGTGCAGCGCCTTCTCACAACGGGCAGCAGTTTAGAGTTTGATGGGCCACATCAGACAGTAATCGCATGCAGGCTGTTGCGAACCTTGTCTCAGGATTGCACGGGATGCACGTCAGGTGTGCTTCCCGTCTTGGGGCTCTTGAGGGGCATGTGCATGTGGAAGCACGTATCGTTGTTCCACTGGCGCGATGCTTGGAGAAGAGGGAGGAGGAAATTTGAGGGATACGGTTCAGCCTGCCCTGTGCACCGAATCGCACTGCTGGTAAACACGCGAAGCAGAGCCGATGCAACTTATGGAGCCGAGTTTTGTCAGAGGTGACTGCTTCCAATAGTGTCGAGGAGTCGCTTCCAGAGGGCCCCAACCAGAGAGATTCGAGAGGCGTCCGAGATCACTAGAGATCCAATAGGCGTCCGTTCATGAGGCTCGACACGCCAACTACTTTGCAATGGTTCTCAGTCCGGAGGGTGGCGGGTGAAGAGGAGGAGCGTTGCGGGAAGTGCCTCTGAGTCGCCATGCCGAGGCCCGCAGGCCCGCCTGAGACGGCAGAGATGGCCTCCAGGACGGCAAGAGGTTCAATTGCTTTGTGCATGCGTTTCGGCTTGGAAGGGGGGTCAAGGGAAGAGCGTTGCTAGAGGGTTCCTCGAGTCGCTTTCGGAAGGCCCTGATAGGGCCTCAAGAAGGCCCCAAGAGTGCCTCAAGACGCTCCCAGGATAGCCTCAGACTATCCGTCGGGCGCTGAATACGGCGAGAAAATGCATTCACCCATAATCATCTGCCAATTGTTGTCCAACGTGTTTCTATCTGGAGATTGTGGTCAAAGTCGTTGGTTTTGAGTAGCGCCTTCGAGTAGTTTCCCGATTGCCCCTCGAGGCCCCACACAGCTCTCATATGTTCACAGAACTGCCCGAGACGGTCTGGATAGACCCCCCCGACGCCCAGCATGTGCGCCCAACAAGTTTCAAGAGCAGTCCTGCGGTCCCATTGCTTCCGACAAAATCCTGTTGGGAGAACCCACTTAGGTCTGCCAAGGTGGCCGTGTCCACTCCCGCGCCCTTCCCTCCTTCCTCCTCTTACTCCGCCGCCCTGTAAGCAGTGCAAAAGGGTCCTCTTCGAAGGGCCTCCCTCAGGGTTTGTGGCTGACCACAGAACCTCTCGCTTTTCTCTCCCTGCCGTGGCGTGCAATCCTCTTTTCAATACTCCTCCTCCTCCTCCTCCTCCTCCTCCTCCTCCTCCTCCTCCTCCTCCTCCTCCTCCTCCTCCTCCTAGCTACGATGCTGGGCATACCCCTCCGCTTGCCTCTCCCCCCTCCCTGCCCCCGCTCCTCCCGCCGATCCGAGAAATCCGCGCGGACCTCCGAGTTTTTTTATGTTTATGCCACTTTTTGCTCCCCTATCGTCGCCACCGCTGGACTCGCCTCGAAATCCTGGTCAGAGCGCACCCCAGGAGGGGTCCGGGGGGAGCAGCGGTGTCGGTATCGTGCCGTTTTTAATACATGCCCCTCGTGCGGATCATGTATTAAACATGCAGGGATTTAGTATAACAAAAACAACGATGAGTTCATCTACACATTTATTCATGCATGGATCATGTATCAAGAATCCCATATTGTTTAAAATCCGATGTATGAAAATCTGCCCTGTGCCTTTTGGCTTCTCCAGCTCGTGGCCCCAGGCCGGTGCACCGAGGCACCCGCACGGGCGCGAGGGCGGCCGGGCTTCGCGGCGTGGGCTCGGCGGGAGCTCCTCGCCGGGAGGGCGGCGCGGCGGCGCCGAGTTGGGCGGGCTGGGGCCCCCGTGCCTCTCCCCCGTGTCGCTCTTGCTGGAGTGGAGCGCCGAGGCGAGGAGGAGCAGGATGGCCAGACTGCCCGGATGAGGAGGAGGCAGAGGAGGAGGCAGAGGAGGAGGAGGAGGAGGAGGAGGAGGAGGAGGAGGAGGAGGAGGAGGAGGAGAAGAGGAGGAGGAGGAGGAGGAGGAGGAGGAGGGAGCGCAGCGCTGGAGGAGGGGAGGATGACGAGGAGGAGAGCCAGGAGAGATGAGCCGTGAGGAGAGAGGGACAGTGAGGAGGAGAAGGGGGGGGGGGCGAAGGGGAGGTGGAAAGGAGAAAGGTGGTGGACATCCTGCTAGGAACAGAGTCGGAGGCGCTCGAGGAGGAGGTAGATAAGGAGGAAGAGGAGGATGAACAGACGGTCCTGGACCTGCGTTCTCCTGCTCCCCACTCCTACTTTTCCTCCTCCTCCTCCTCCTCTCCCTCCAGAGAAGGAGGTTGTCCTCCTCTTCCGCACGATCGAAGGAGGTGGAGGTAGTCGTCCTCATTATCTCCCTTCCTCGTTAATCCTCTTCCATCCTGCCCATCCTGCTTTTCCTCCCCCTCCTCCGGAGGAGAAACAGGTCGGCCGGTGTGGTAGGCGTCCCCGGGCGCTGGGAAAGCAGAGAGCGCCGCGGCGAAGGTGGTGGATTATTTCAGGAGGATCGACACCAACGGGAACGGCCAGCCTCCTTGCGCTCCCTCACTCCGCCTGTCCGTCCTTCCTCGTCCTCTTTCGTTTTCCTCCTCCTCCTTCCCTCTCTGTGCGCTCTGTGATGCTACAGTCAACCCGCATAGTAAGGATGAACAACTTTCCAAGGTTACCCTCGCATCCGTCCTCTTCGGCCCATCCTTGGCCGCTTTCCCTGGCCGCGCCCCTCTCGCAAAACATGGCCTTGCCCAGGCCCTTGCGTCCTCATCGTGCGTCCTTTTTGTCCAGATGTGTTTTTTTTCCCCGCGACCCTCCCCTCACTCCGGTCTTTCGTCCTCCCTCGTCCTCCTTCGTGTCTCTCTTCTTTCCTTCCTGTGCGCTCTGTGATGCTAACCAGATCCAGCCAGCGGTCGGAGACAGGCACTCTCTCTCTCTCCTTCCCCCCGTCCTCCCTGCCTCCCCCACCCCGCGCCCTCTCTGCGGAGCAGTCGAGGCCAGCCTGCAGCCAACGCGCTGGAATAGGAGAAGGAGGAGGAGGAGGAGGAGGAGGAGGAGGAGGAGGAGGAGGAGGAGGGGGGAGGAGGAGGAGGAGGAGGGGAGGGGGAGGAGGAGGAGGAGGAGGGGGAGGGAGGAGGAGGAGGAGGAGGAGGAGGAGGAGGGGAGGGAGGAGGAGTGGCTTCAGCGATAGGTTTGGAGATAACGTCTGTGGCCGAGGCTCGCGGTGGCCAGAAGAGCAGACTCGCTCCTCCTTTGGCGCTCCCATGGCAGCACGATGGCTGCAGACTCCTCCTCCTCCTCCACCTCCTCCTCCCTTCTCCTCCTCCTCCACCTCCTCCTCCACCTCCTCCTCCTCCTCCTCCACCTCCTCCTCCACCTCCACCTCCTCCCTCCTCCTCCTACTCCTCCTCCTCCTTTGGCGCTTCCCATGGCAGCACGATGGCTGCGAACTCCTCCTCCTCCTCCACCTCCTCCTCCTCCTCCACCTCCTCCTCACCTCCTCTCCTCCACCTCCTCCTCCTCCTCCTCCTCCTCCTCCTCCTCCTCCTCCGACTCCTCCTCCCGACCCAGCTGCCTCCAGCAGTTCCGCTACCGTGCCAGCGCAGCAGTCTGGGGGCGGCAGCTGCTCGAGAGGCGAGGGGGGCCTGCTGGGGGCCTCTCGGGGCAGAAGGCTCGAATTCTTGGTTCGTGTTCCTACTCTTGCTGCCCACTTTATCTCCTCCCTCCTCCTCCCCCTCTTCGTCCTCCTCCTCCCTCCTCCTCCTCCTCCTCCTCCTCCTCCTCCTCTCCTCCTCCTCCTCCTCCTCCTCTCCTCCTCCTCCTCCTCCTCCTCCTCCTCCTCCTCCTCCTCCTCCTCTCCTCCCCTCAGGCAAATGCAACAAGGAGGTTGCATTTGAGTCGCGAATTATTCCTTATCGGTAGTGCCACCCGTGTGCTGCTGTTCCCTGCTTTGAACGGGGG